CATGTGTGTGTCAGTGAGCTTGTCTGTAGTGAGCATGTGTGTGTCAGTGAGCTTGTCTGTAGTGAATCTGTGTGTTAGTGAGCTCTTCTGTAGGGAGCATGTGTGTGTCAATGGGCTTGTCTGTAGGGAGAGTGTGTGCGCGTCAGTGAGCTTGTCTATAGTGAGCGCGTGTGTGTGACAGTGAGCTTGTCTGTAGTAAGCTTGTGTGTGTATCAGATTTTGTCTGTACTAAATTTGTGTGTGCGCGAGTAACCTTGTCTGTATGTGTCATTGAGATTGTCTGTCAATGAGCCTATTTGTGTGCATCAGTAAGATTGTCTGTGTCTGTGTGTGAGTATGCTTTACTGTATAATTTAATTACCCTAAAAGAAGAAATGTATCAATAATATATACATATATATATTTTTATATATATGTATAAAAGCTGTTGTACCTTGCACTCAGGCTTCAAAGTTGTGTGACCGGGTGCATCACCAGGGCTCCAGTATCCAGGAAATTGAAATAGTTGGCTGCACTCTCAGATTTCCTTAAAACATAACTTTTATTGAAATATTTAAGAGAAGATCAATGTTTCAGTCCCTCTTGTGGACTTTCGTCATGATCCTGTGTGAATTTGGTACTTCCGAATGTCCGAATAGGTGAATAGCCGAATGGTCGAAGACATGAAATTACCGAATTTGCGAAGTGTCAAAATGCCGAAGTTGCTGAAGTGTCGAAGTGCCGAAGTTCCGAAGCACAGTATTGCCTAAGAACTAATATACTTACCCAGTGGAAGAATGAACAATATTACACTGTATACAATTTTAAATAAAAAGTATCCAAACATAGCCAGGATTCAGCTGTAAGCATTTGCAACACTTACAACAATAAAGTAACATACATTCATATAAAATGTAAGTTACTTAGCCAGTCAATGTAATGACAGGAATGAATAAGTAGATAACTCCCTAATTCCCACGGTATTAGGGAGCTATCTACCAAAAGGCTGAAAGACCTAAATTGGTCTTTCAGCCAAATGTACTAATACTAAGTAAAGATTACTTAGTATTAGTAAATTATGCCCCTATTCGCTATACCGCGAGTAGGGGCATGTCTAATAAATAGTGAGCAGCCTATGGCCCCCTCCCGAGCCACCACCCGTGCCACGCGAGTTGGGGCTTCTAACCTGAAGGGGGGACCTATTGCCCCCCCGGCCCCCACTCCTGAACAGTGGGTGGGGGCCCTACAGTAAAATAAGGGGGGGGACCTTATGTCCTCCCCCCTGGCCCCTACCCCTGAGTGGTGAGTGGGGGCCCTAAATACTAATAGGGGGGGACCTAATGTCCTCCCCCTGGCCCCCACCCCTGAGCGGTGGGTGGGGGCCCTAAATTAGAATAAGGGGGGGAACTAATGTCCTCCCCCTGGCCCCCACCCCTGAGCGGTGGGTGGGGGCCCTAAATTAGAGTAAGGGGGGGAACTAATGTCCTCCCCTCTGGCCCCCACCCCTGAGTGGTGGGTGGGGGGCCTAAATACTAATAAGGGGGGGGACCTAATGTCCTCCCCCCGGGCCCCCACCCCTGAGCAGTGGGTGGGGGCCCTAAATACTAATAAGGGGGGGGCAGGGCCAGACTGGGGATACAAAGCAGCCCTGGAAAAAAAATATATACCAGCCCCATAAGTCAATGCGCCATATATTGTCGCATGTAATATGTAAGGCTATGTCTTGCCACCCCAGATCATTGAGTAATATATATATATATATATATATATATATATATATATATATTGCTTTTTCTAATATAACATATTGGTCCTTTCATAGTAAAACTTTTAATTATACAGTAAGCATACTCACATGCAGATACAGACAACCTCACTGACACACACAAGTTCGTTGATACACAGCCTCATAGACAAACAATCTCACAGATAAACATAAGCTCATTGACATAAAAACACAAGCTCACTCACTAGCAGACACACACATACATGCAAGCAAGCAAGCTCACTAGCAGGCGCACACACACACACACAGCTTAATGTAGTGGTTCTGGTGTCTATAGCCTGTCCCTGCAGGCTTTTCAATGAAAACACTGACTTTTCAGAGAAAAGGCAGTGTTTACATTGCTTCAGAGTGACACCTCTGGTGACAGTCACTCAGATGGTCACTAGAGGTGCTTCCTGTGTCAGTGCTGCACAGTTTGCAGCACCTACATTCAGGGCCTCCACGCTCTGGAGACGCAGAAGGTTCCCCATAGAGATACATTGATTAAATGCATCTCTATGAGGAAATGCTGATTGGTGTAGCGTTTTGCAGCCAATCCTATGTCAAGCTTGATGATCTCAGCCACAGAGGCAGGGACAGTCGAGGGGAGACCAGCATGGCATGGGAAAAAAAAAAGATGAGTAAAAACACACACCATGACAGACACACACACCATGACAGACACACACACACACCATGACAGACACACACAAACACCATGACAGACACATGCACACCATGACAGACACACGCACACCATGACAGACACACGCATACCATGACAGACACACGCATACCACGACAGACACATGCATACCACGACAGACGCACGCATACCACGACAGACAGTCCATGATACAGACAGACACACACACACCATGACACAGACAGACCATGCCAAACACACACACCATGACACACCGACACACACACACCCACCATGACACACCGACACACCATGACACAGACACACATATCATGACGCAGACACACATATCATGACACACACACACCATGACAGAGACAGACACATACCGTGACACACACACACACCATGACAGAGACAGACACATACCATGACAGAGACAGACACATACCATGACACAAACACACCATGACACACCGACACACCATGACACAGACACACATATCATGACGCAGACACACATATCATGACACACACCCCATGACAGACACACATACCATGACACACACACACCATGACAGACACACATACCATGACACACACACACCATGACAGAGACAGACACACATACCATGACACACACACACCATGACAGACACCCATGACACACACCATGACAGAGACAGACACATACCATGACACACACACACCATGACAGAGACAGACACATACCATGACACACACACACCATGACAGAGACAGACACATACCATGACACACACACACCATGACAGAGACAGACACATACCATGACACACACACACCATGACAGAGACAGACACATACCATGACACACACACACCATGACAGAGACAGACACATACCATGACACACACACACCATGACAGAGACAGACACATACCATGACACACACACACCATGACAGAGACAGACACATACCATGACACACACACACCATGACAGACAGACACACACACACACACATACACTGACAGCATAACACATATTACCTGTGGGCCAGGGGGGTCATGCAGGGCAGAGAGCTGGGTGTGATGGTGGCCGCAGAAGAAGCTGGGATGGTGGCCGCTGGAGGAGCAGGGATGGCGGCCGCTGGAGGAGCTGTTCTGGCAGCCGCAGGAGAAGCTGTGCTGTCTCTGCTCCCCCCGCCCTCACGCGCTACTGAATGAGACCGGGGCCGGAATATGATGTCATTTTTCGGCCCGGTCTCATTCAGTGGCGCGCGAGGGCGGGGGAGAAGAGACAGCACAGCTTCCAGCGGCCGCCAGAACAGCTCCTCCAGCGGCAGCAAGCACACCCACATGTCTGCCAGGCCCCAGGTGCCGACGGCCCACCGGGAAATTTCCCGGTATCCCGGTGGGCCAGTCTGGTCCTGGGGGGGACGACTAATAACCGACGCACTTAAAAAAAAAAAATCCATCTTCAACCATGAAGGGCTCCGCGCAGCTCTGCAGGGCCAGGGGGAGGACATTAGGTTCCCCCCATATTCTAATTTAAGGCCCCCACCCACCGCTAAGGCATGGGGGCCAGGGAGGAGGACATTAGGTGTCCCCCCTTATTAGTATTTAGACCCACCGCTCAGGGGTGGGGGCCATGTGGGAGGACATTAGGTCCCCCCCTTATTCTAATTTAGGTCTCCCCCCTTATTCTAATTTAGGGCCCCCACCCACCACTAAGGGCTGGGGGCCAGGGGGGAGGACATTATGTCCCCCCCTTATTCTAATTTAGGGGCCCCTCCCGCCGCTCAGGGGTGGAGGCTGGGGGGAGGCAATAGGTCCCTGTTAGGGGACCCTGTTTTATTTTTATTTTTTAACAGTGAGCAGCCACAGGCTGCTAAAGTTCGCTGCAAGACCAATTTAGGTCTTTCAGCCTTTTGGTAGATAACTCTCTAATACCCTGGGAATTAGGGAGTTATCTACTAAGCGGCTGCAAGAGAAGTCCCGAAGTGCTGAAGTTCCGAAGTGTTGAAGTGCTGAAGTTGCCGAAGTTCCGAAGTGCTGAAGTTCCCAAGTTGCCGTAGTTCCGAAGTGCCGAAGTTGCTGAAGTCCCGAATTGCCGAAGCCCCGAATTTCAGAATGCTGAACCGAACCGAAAATTTTCCCCATGCACATGCCTATCATTTAGATTATAGTATGTGAATATCCCAGGGGTCCAGTTTTTTCTGAATTACAGGAACTATTAGCAATTATATGTCTACTACGAAAGAAAGGTGGGTTCCTTTTGGCAACCACTTATTACTAGTAGCTGTGTACTAAATTTTGTAGCATGACACTAGCTAAAGGGACACTATAGTAGTAGGAATTTATAATCCAGTGCTGCTAGTTTCAAAAGAGGTAGTATACTTATCTTCTCTTTCTCACCATGCTGGACTCCTTACTCAAGCTCCGTCTCTTTGGCTGAGTTCCTCGAGATCAATGATCTCAGTCAATCCATTGCTTTTCCGTAGTGCACATCTCTCTGAGACCCTCTGATTAAAATAGCAGGTATTTTACAGAAGCACCTCAAGTGGCTGTTTGAGTGACAGCCACTAGATGTAGATTAACCCTGCAATGAACACATTGCCGAACCTGCAGAATGGCAATGTTTTCAACTGTAGGGATAAGACGGGGGACACATGGCACCCAGGCCACTTCCTTGAGATGAAGTGGTCTGGGTGCCTACTGTAAGAATATTAAATAGTTAACTTGTTTATATGTATTTTATGCTTTTATAAGGTTTATAACATGATTATTGCTGACTGAAGGGATATTGAATACTTAAAGTCAATATACGACAATCATATGCTGACTGTGACAGACTAAGGTATTTCTTCTATAGGATGTAAGACAATGCTAAATTTCAGGATGTCTTGCCCATTCCGATTTTAAGGATATTCTTTTCCAGACGTATGCAAAAGCTTATCTTTCCATTGTCAGAATAACGTAATACAAGGAAGTAATAAATCTTATAGTCTGTACTGTAATGAATGACATATACCATGGCTAATGTAAGCAAACTATGTATAAAAGCCAGCTCTGGAATACACTCATTTGAGAGTCTTGTAAAGCTGTTGTCCGTGTGTTATTGCTTACAAATGATTCTCCATCAACGTTGATTATGGTGACCGAGGGATCGAGAACCGAGGGGATTAGAGTCCATTACAACATTAACCCTTTCAGCTTGGTGTCTAGAAGTGGGATAGATAGAAGTTGGATCAGCAAAACCATTTGCGGTGAGTAGCCTTTTTGTGTCTTATTGACGCTGATTGTCTATGACCCCCGTTTGGTTCAGTAAGACTGTATCCAGTAGATAGGAAAGGTGTAAGGACTCTAGTTATATTGAGACTATAAGAGGTCTCCGGTTTATTAGACATTTGGTCTAAATATATATAGGGGTTCTTGGTAACCCAGGTTAGTATCTAAGATAGATACAGGTTTTTGAGACCATAAGAGGTCTCCGGTTTATTATAGGGTTTTGGTAACCCAGGTTAGTATCTAAGATAGATACAGGGTATCTCAGGTAGATACAGGTTTTTGAGACCATAAGAGGTCTCCGGTTTATTAAGTCTATAGGTGTTCTGAGCAGCATGGTTTGTAGATCTTTAAGTATAACCCAAACTTCTCTTTCTCCCGGTCACCTTTGTTTGTCTTAAGTGTTTTTTGTGGGTGATTGTTTGTCTATATTGGGGACACACTTTGGTAAGTTAGTAGTGTCCCCACTCTGAGTCAGCAGTATGGGAAATGTGAGTTCAGGTCCTGAGTGACCAATATATGTATGTATATGTGTGTGTATGTATATATGTATATATGTATGTATATATGTGTGTGTATATGTATATGTGTATATATAAGATAGCAGTACTTTTAAACAAATGGAGGTTTTAAAAATACATAGGGATTAAGGAGAGAACGCAGGTAACTTGTTTTTCTTTGGTTTTTACCATATATTGGGGCTGATGTGTACTGTAGTCCTTGCTGCTGCCCAGTAGTGATGGGAGTGAGCGCAGGACTTATCTTTCTGCAAGATAGCAGTACTGTATATTAGAAAAGAAATGACTCACAGGTTGTACCTGATAGACCTACTTAAATCTTTTTACTTTATTCTTTCTGTCGCATAGAAGTATAAGTTTATTACTCTGTTTTATTGTAAGTTATTTCACATGGGAACTGTGTGCCTGGAATGATTGTTGCTTTAAAAATACTATAAGCCCACTACACTTATTATGAGAGTGGGATAGTGTAAATGTGTTGCATTGTTTGCATGATGAGCTCAGTATATTTTATAACTGAGACAAAAAGTCACATCATTAGTATTTGAAAGTTAATTCCCCGTATGGGATTAATTGTATAGAAACACCAATCAGCACATATTCCCTGCCCTGTGTGTTTGTTGCAAAGGATCCATACTGTAAATATGATTTTTGTTTGAAAATAAGAGAGCAACATTTACATTTTCAGCGGTCCAACACATGCTTTATTTTGCACTGTAAACTAACCTTTTTATTGCAACAGGTTCCTTTTAAATGATCCAGTGTAATAACTACTGCTTGTGTCTTCTATGTCTCACATTATGTGTTATTTTAAATTGTGGTATATAGCCTGAATCAGACATCATGGACAAAGGTTTTTACCTGTGTTACTAAGGGCTCTTGGAGACTGACCGGTCTAAAGGTTTGCCATGCCTTAGAACATGGTATAGTATAAATTTTTTAAGTCTCTGAGAGTTCTGAAAGATTCAGGTGAAACCATGTCTGTTTAATCTGGTCCAGATGTTTGTTCAATTTCTGTAAGATTTAAATTGATGCAGCATCATCTCAGATTAATTAATGGAAGTTTTATACAAATATTTGAGTTATGAGCGCGCTATATAAATGGATCCTTTCTTTAAATACAATACTATAGTAGATTAAAGTAATGAAGTTAATTAAGAAAATGTATACATAAGAATCCCTAAAATAAATCTAAACTAAAATTGTTATACTTTCCAATAATATGTTCTGAATACAGCTGTTAACTGTTTATTCTGTGTAAATGGTGATTGTGATAATGTGTGATAAGTGTGCAGTTTAACTTGAAAGTGGTTTAATTTATATGTTGCTGTATTGTTTTAAATTATATGTGAATCAGTTTGTCACAGTCTAGTGATACTGATAAGAATGACAGCCAAATAACCTAGCAAATAACTGTTTTATTAGTTGTTGAATACTAGCGTTTTGGCCAAGAATAGTTGGAGATTTGGAGGTGTTAGTTTAAGATTGCTTTTATATTGTGTCTACCCGTGTTTCCTAGGAGGGAGACAGAGTGTGTAGTTGTGTGCCCATAAATGTGATTTCTGTATTGGCATATCTGCTGGGTACCCATTATGTGTTTCTACAAAGATATTGTTTTGTGAGATGACGTGTAATATTACATTGGATGCTGAGTATGAGTTATATGGTTTGAAATGAATTGGTGATTATGAGCTTAGTACTTCAGTAAGATGTGCTAAAATTTGGAACAAGGTGGAAGCTGAAATGTTGGGATTATGGAAGAATAAGCAGTCTATATTCACTGCTTTGGCATATAAGCAAGATGCAAAGGAAGAGATTGGTAATATGATTTTTGTAAAGAAATTTTACAAGTGTTGGAAGGATGAGGCAGGTTTGATGTCTGGAGATGATATAGATCTCTTTAAAATACAGTCATGCCTTGGTAATATGTTGCCACAGTATTTTTTGCTTGTGAAACAATTGATTTCAGACTGGGCCAATTTGGATAGCTCAGATTTTCTTACCAAGGTTATAGAAAAGGAAAATGCAGGTTGTTTTGAATTAAGAAAAGATTTAGGAAAGTAAGGTTGCTTATTATGCTCAGGGATTGCAACATATTATGTCCAGCTACACAGGATGAGAGCAAGGATGGGATGGAGCACATAAAGCCCGTGGAAGGGGTGGTCAAAGAGGGGCAAGGGGATGGAGACAGGGAAATCAGGGTTATAGGGGCAGGGGTAACCAAGGAGGAATAGACAGGAACACTTGTTTCAACTGTGGACAATATGGCCACTGGAGGAATGAGTGTCCACACCCCAGGAAACCCCACACACCCCAACAACCCCACAATTCTCAAAATATGCCCTGTAGGCAAGAACAACTACAGATCCACTCCCAACACCACTGGCCAGCATATCGCTTAGTTCAGGACTTTAGAGCCCTGAATAGTTTAATTGTGCCCATTTCACCCATTGTCCCTGATGTGACATCCCTCATTACAGCCATTCCACATGATGCCACTTGCTTCACTGTCATTGATTTAAGTAATGCATTTTTTCTATACCTATTGATCAAGAGACACAGCTACTTATGGTTTTTACTTTTGAAGGCTGTCAGTTTACCTGGACACGCTTACCCAAGGCTATGTGGATTCCCCAGCTGTTTATTCGTTGGTACTCCAACATACTCTAAAAAACATGGACCACCGGTCATGGTTCCGTCCTTTTTGCAAAATGTTGATGATTTGTTGTTATGTAGCCCTAGCTATGAGGCAAGCACTGTGGATACTGTCAGCAACTGTGGGTCACAAGGTTGTTAAACACAAAATGCAATTGTGTAAATCAAAGGTTGAATACTTAGGTTTTGTTCTGGCTTTAGGCACCAGACAATTGAGTCCAAAACGTATTGAGGTCATTCAGAGGATTCCTACACCCACTACTCGGAAGGAGTTGCTCACCTTCCTCGGCATGATTAATTACTGCCACCATGGATCCCTGAATGCTCCCATTATGACTCAATCCTAAGGGAGGCTGTACGTTCTGACAGCCCTGAAAATGTCTGCTGGTCACCAGACATGCTAGCTGCATATATTACCCTTACAGTTGTTATTGTGCAAGCCCAGGCTTTAGGACTACCTGTGTATTGTAAACCATTTCATTTGTATGCTCGGGACAACTGTAAAACCATGGCCGCGGTCTGTGCACAAGAGCAAGGAGGCGGTATGCGTCCCATAGCATTCTTTTCCAAAGTAGTTCGAGCTCCGGTACAGGGTATGCCGGCGTGTCTCAGAGCATTGATAGCATGTGCAATGGCTGTTGAAACTGCTACTACTATCACACTAGGGCATCCTACAATACTTCATGCCAGTCACCAGGTCACTCAGCTGACAAATCTCACCACACAACACATGACAGCCCAGCGCTTCAGTGGTTATGAGATTCTTTTTTTTAATACCCAGAATCTGTCTTTTGGATTAAACAAGGTTTAGAGAAAGATCAGAATGATCTGTTCTCTAAAGAGGGGAGAATAGGCATACTTGAAGAATAGGCATACTTGAAGCAAGCTGCTTTATTTTCATCAGTCAGGCACATAGCAAGCACCATTCAATTCCTCATGAATTCATTTTATATTAGGAATCTCAGGCAGCATGTACAGTCTTTTGTAAGATCGTGTGAACGCTGCTCTTTTTTACACACTTACAGATTGATTTTATTCATGTATCCAAAATTGGTAAGAAACAGCAATACTTACTGGTCATAGTTGATCAGTTTAGTAGATGGCATGAGGCCTTTGTGACATCTAGGGAAGATGCTAGTGAAGATTATTGTTACTGAAATTATTCCCCGGTATTGCTGCCCTCTGCAGATTGGCTCTGATAATGGCCCGGTTTTTGCAAGTGGGGTTGCCCAGGAACTTGCTAAATTCTTGCAAGTTACCTGGTAGTTTCATATACCCTATCATCCACAGAATACAGGGGTAGTTGAAAGGATGAATAGGACTATTAAGGAAAAGCCCAGAATTTACCCAGGAACATGGGTAAATTGGACAAGATATCTACCAGCTATTTTAGCTGAGATAAGAATGAATCCCCACAAGGTGAATTGTTGATAAAACCGAATGGTATGTATGACAATGTTTCTTCGCAGTTTTCCCTTACCTTCACAGGAACCTACTCATTCATACCAGCCCGGTGACAAGGTGTATATCCGTCAGTTGAACAGGACCAAGAAAGGAGGATACCCTTTTGGACCACCTGCTACTGTGATTGCTGTACCCAGAACCGCTGTCCACAGATTCCCATGACATCTGGATTCACGCATCCCGAGTGAAGCTGTGTCCAAAGAGGGGAACCAAGGAAGACAACACCACTCCTCGCTCGGAAACAGAAGAATTTCTCCTCAGCGAAGCATCATGGTTTTTACACCATATCGTAGATTGAGAGGATCATACGTACCTGAGACCAAGATTATGTTGTGCGCTATGCTTTCTGGAGTTGTTATACTCCCTCTGATATTGTTCCTTGAATGCCATTATGAGTACAAGTCAATGGCAAGTTCTGGAAAAAGACTCTGACATGATGAACAATTCTTCAATACCCCCAGCCCAATTAGGCCTTAGCCCCTCATCTAGCATTCGTCACACACGCCCCCTCAAGAACCTTTCTCCACCACCTTTCTATCAGCATGCAATATGCAATCATTCATTTACTGAACGCATTTGGATGAATTGGACAAATAGTAACCCTTATAAGTACCAGTTACCCATATGAAATGTGTCTACAGCTAATGAAACCGATGCATTATGTTTGTTTAAAGGTTCACAGAAAATTGTTAGATCTTATAACGCAGAAATGTGCACAGTTAAGGTTGCATATCAATGTAAACAGACAGGCCTTATTACTTTTAATAATGATTATATAACTGGTATCATTAATTGGAGAAGGGGACAAATGTTAGTCATTATGAACGACACTACAATTGAGAACTATACACTACCTTATATTTTTACACCTTATTACTGTCCTTTATCCTCTACCATAGAACCAAAAGTCAACAACGACACACACACACCTATTCCGTCCACATGTGTTAATACAACTGCCTTCTTACAAGCTGTACATGTGTCATTAAAAGTCACTACTCTTGTTGTAACATTATGTAATACAACAAACAAAGGCAGAAAAGGGAATGGTATGACACACTGTTAGGAGGTGCTGGAACCACTATGGGTATACTAAATAGTTATAGATATGGAGACCCTCAAGAATAAGTTAAACACAGCCAGCATGCATATAGGGACTGGTTTTCATGCTACTGCAAATTGGGCTCCAATTGTTGTTAAATCACAGGTTATAGGATTGGATTTAGATAAATCAATGTATAATTATTTAGATAATTTAACTGTTGCAACTATGAAATTCACTACAGGTCTAAGTAACTGGAGTACTTGTGCCATCAGGTATTTATGGATACAACAACAAGGATTGGCATTAGAAAACACACTAATGATTCCTAAACTAGAGAAGATTAGAGGAAAGCGTAACCTCACAGATAATGAATGGTTACTTCTAAAACCCCAATCCAGTAAATGCAATGGATGGTTAACTGGTAATGTTTCACATTTTTCATGCTCATGCTATTTTACATTATATCATACATCATCAAAGGATGTTAAATTAGCTTGTCAATTTAACACATTACCAGTACCAGTTTATGATCTTTTTGCCAAGAATTTAACCTGGTGGGCACCCACATACACAGGGGACTATATTTTTCCCAAAGATAACATACACAGGTAGCCACACATATCCTAAAAGGAGAACTCCTTAAGGTGAGTTCACAAATTCAGAATGATTCAGCCCATCATTGGTACAATGCTTTACTGGTTGGTCCCCTACTGGATCCCAGATAATGAAATCATTCTTCTATCCTTTTGTTATTATAGTCCTGATTTTATTGTGTATGATTTTATATAACTGTCACCTTACTTGTACATTGAGGAAGAGAGTACAGAAATGAATCCATAATGCAGAACAGAAACAATTAAAAATTCTCCTCTCTGCCACTGTAGAGTATCAACCCATCTTTAAACTGAGCCTTAGGAATTACCACATGGGAATCGAGGTGAAGAAATTAATGAAAGTCCCGCAGGGAGTGACTAGCACCCCTGAAAATACCATGTGGAAGTTTCTCTGTCCTGGTAAGATTTTATCGATAAGATGAGCAATTGTTTTATTGCTCAAAGAGGGGAATGTAAGAATATTAAATAGTTAACTTGTTTATATGTATTTTATGCTTTTATAAGGTTTATAACATGATTATTGCTGACTGAAGGGATATTGAATACTTAAAGTCAATATACGACAATCATATGCTGACTGTGACAGACTAAGGTATTTCTTCTATAGGATGTAAGACAATGCTAAATTTCAGGATGTCTTGCCCATTCCGATTTTAAGGATATTCTTTTCCAGACGTATGCAAAAGCTTATCTTTCCATTGTCAGAATAACGTAATACAAGGAAGTAATAAATCTTATAGTCTGTACTGTAATGAATGACATATACCATGGCTAATGTAAGCAAACTATGTATAAAAGCCAGCTCTGGAATACACTCATTTGAGAGTCTTGTAAAGCTGTTGTCCGTGTGTTATTGCTTACAAATGATTCTCCATCAACGTTGATTATGGTGACCGAGGGATCGAGAACCGAGGGGATTAGAGTCCATTACAACATTAACCCTTTCACCTACAATGTTCCTTCACAACTGCCCGTTTAGACATTAGCAACTTGTTGGTAAAAGTTACTGACATGAAAACCTTGGAAACAAACCCATAATGTACTGATTGTGTTCAGTACTGCACATCTCTTCACACATTTGAATTACTCCCCCTGCATTCATTTATTAACATTAATAGTTAAAAATTTATTTTGCATATCTTGATCCTGGGGTCCTACTTTTGGGAACAGGACACTAGGACTAGCATGTATTTACACCAGGCTGACCTCCCTTTTGTTTTGTTTTTTGGATGGTCCCACCCCAACTCAGGGCCAATCTATCCCCCTCTCGACAGCACCAGTGATGTTACTTACATCACTGGTGTGCATCCTCTTACCGTGCCTACTGGCATCCTGTCTTGTGAAATGATGTCCTACGATTTGCTGTTTTTGGGTTCACTGTAAATTCTTCCACGTCAATTACTTGTTCTGTACAGAGAAGTATTAAGATTGCCAGGGGAATTAGGTAGGCTTCCAGTTTGGACTCCCATCTTTATTCTTCACATATGGATTGTAAATGGGGCCAAGCAAATTCATGGTTCCAGGGCCAATTTCCCTTAGTGCACATCTCTCTGAGACCCTCTGATTAAAATAGCAGGTATTTTACAGAAGTACCTCAAGTGGCTGTTAATCCCTATCCCTGTCTAATGTCTGGACCGTAGGCAGACACCTGGTGTCACGAACGCACCCTACTCCAAGAGTGTGCGTGACGTAGTTGTGGTGGTGAAAGGGTTAAAGTACACTATTTGTCTGCACTAGACCGGAAATAATGACAAAATCCCCCTTTAACACCACCCACACTTAAACATAATAATATAACTATTACTATTTTAACGCTGCCACCACCAAGACAATTTATAAATAGGGTGCCTTGGTCCCCCAGGTAAATCAATAC